AGTTTTAAACAGGTGGTTTCCCCGCATCGGAAATCCTTCCGACAATAGAATTGTTCCAGTAGAGGTGAGTTTACGGTCACTCAGGCGGTTTACGTTTGTGGACTGTTTTTGTGGCCTCAAAGGTCAATCACTCAGTGTATGTTGAGTAAATGGCAGAATCCCTTGATAACTCCATCTAAACAGTAGAGGTCTGCAGGAAAATGGATTAGAGGTGCTTTTAGAATGCCAAGTACATGAGATTAGTAATGAAACAGAAATGTTAGAGGTACAACCTGCGAAGTAAATGCGAACAGCACATTCACAACCTTGTGACCTTGTCTGTGACGTCAAGAGTTAGGTGGGCTTTGGGCAGCAGTGACCACTACATGTGCACACATTAGCCACCGTGAGGAATCGAGCGTTGACGCAGTTTGCACCATTTGGGATTTGCCGTACAGAGGCGGATCGAAACTTGCAATCACGCAACCTCATGCGTGGCATAACGCAGGAGGTAGAAAACGCTAAAGGGTCACCGCATGCTCTTCACGAACAATTGCGCGCTCAACATCCTGATAGGAGAGGACATGCGAAGGACTATGGAACTCTTTACCATCGATTGTGCCCACTTCGGACATACCATCAACACAGATAACACGATACTCATGAATTAACCGCCACCCACTGTTGATGTTAAGGTTCCACGGATCAATGTTAATCGCACCGAAATCAAAACTTCCGAAATAGTGGCCTATATAGGCAGCACACTGCAGCGCAACACGTGATTGCTCACCGGATCTCCAAAGCCGACAAGGCAAACCGAGCTCGGAAGCTGAACCATTTCCACCCCAGCTGTCTCCGCCAAATACTGAAGCTGAGATGTCAGGACAGGATTCCGAAAACGGATGTCCTGGAGAGAACGGAAATGCTAAGCATCAATGCCCTGCTGAGACAAATTCACCTGCGATGGACCAGCCACTTAGTGCAGATGGACGACCAACGACTACCCACGAGACTACTCTTCGGTGATGTCACTTTGGGTGCTTGCCAACATGGAGGACATAAGAAGCGCTATAAGGACACCCTGAAGAACTCCCTGAAGCGCCTTCAAATTCACACGACGATCTGGGAGGAACTCGTGCAGGATCTATTGACTTGGAGAAGAACCTTCAAAACATGCGAGCTATCTACGAAGCCAGTCGGATCGCCGCCACTGAGGCTAAAACCACGGCCATCAAGTTATAAACTGAACGGACGGAAGCAGACAACGCCCAAGGCCTTCCAAACTGCCCGCGCTGCCAACGAACCTTTCGTGTACGTATCGGCATGTCCGGCAATCGCTGGAAGCAATGCACCATCCCTGCGATTACATCAAATTCTACGGCGACGAACACGTCTACAGACTTTACTGTTTCCAGCACTCCAACGAAAACCACTCCCTCCATGGACTTGCAAATGGCCGATGTTCGTTTGCCCTAACCCGCCGAAACAATCCTCCCTGCCTCAACTCCTACGTGGCACACGACGCCAACCACCAGCACCACAATTATTTCGCTCGCACCTCCCCTCCCCTTTCGACATAGCACCTTCTACGACCACCCCTAACACCACAACCAAGCCCTCCTCCAGCACTAGGGTATTGGATGATCACAAGTACACTCCACACATCGGTTTAGTCGGTAACTTGCGAATTCATCGCACTGAGACTAGTGAAATATTGTTTGGAGCATCAAAACACAACAGAGACCGTCGCCTCCAATGTCCTCACTGCCTTCGTGCATTCCCGCACCGCATTGGCCCACTCGGCCATATGCGCATATGTGACAGCGGAATTCACCGCGATATCGCTATACCCAGCATAAGCTGCACACGCATCAGCAATTCCAACCCTTCAACCGACATGACTACCGCCAACATCAGTTCCGGTGCCTCAGCATCCACCGATTTATCATGCCTTTATTGTAACCGCACATCACGTATCGGCCTGATCGGTCAGCACCTGGGCCCCGACATACAGTCGCGGTACTGGTCTTCACTGTCCGCACTGCCCATGCACATTCATCCCCCCGCATGAGTTTGATAGGCCACATACGCCTCAGAGAAAAACCTGCCGTAAAATCCAACCGGGGCCCCATATCAGTA